AGATCTCCGGATAGGAAGAGGAGCCAGGCGGTTCCTCCCGCACGGCCTCCGCTTAGGGCAGCCACTGGGGCGAGCCGGGGCTCCCTCCATCCGGTAAGAGGGAGTCCGGGGGGAGGGGGGAGAGTTGGGGGCTGCTGAAGCTGGGGGTGCCCTTCGCCCCTGTTGCCCAGCGGGAGCCAGCCCTGTGGCGGCAGGGAGCATGCTTTCCTGGAGCCGTGTGTGTCATGCCCCAAAGGGAACCGGCCTGGCTTCAGCCAAGGTTCTGGCGGGGCTGGATCCCTCGCTGCCTTGGCAGTTCTGGGGCTGGGCTTCTGCCCTTCTTTTGGGGCTGGGGGTGGGGGAATTCAGGGAAGGTGACCCTGGACTTCTTCTGAGGAGTAAACAGTCTGGGTCAGGGGTAGGCAACCTTGGCTCTTTTATGACTGGTGGACTTCAACTCCCAGAATTCCTGAGCCAGCATGGGGGAACTATGGCTTCATGACTCATGGACTTCAACTCCCAGAATTCCTGAGCCAGCATGGGGGAACTATGGCCCCCCTCGGGACTCGTGGACTTCAACTCCCAGAATTCCTGAGCCAGCCTGGCTCAGCTTGGAAACCTCTCCCTTTCCCCTCAGCGTGGCTGGCTCAGGAATTCTGGGAGTTGAAGTCCACGAGTCATAAAAGAGCCCAGGTGGCCTACACCTGGCCTGGGTTTACGTCTCTGAAGATTTACCTATGGGAGCTCCAGTAGCACCCATAAAGGTCTCCCCTGTCCAGTCACCTCCGACTCTAAAGTGTGGCTCTCATCTCCGATTCTTAGCCAAGGGAACCAGCGTTGTCTGAAGACATTCCCGTGGCCATATGGCCGGCAGGACTACATGCTGAGGCACCAGGAATGCACTAACCTTCCCACCGACGTGGTACCTATTTATTTACTCGCATTTGCATGCTTTCCAACTGTTGGGTGGGCAGAGCTGGGGCAAGGAACGGGAGCTCACACACCCCCTGGGCTGGTAGCTCTCCAGCTGACAAGCTCAGCGTCTTTAACTGCCGAGCGGTGGCATGTGTCCCCCCCCCCCCCGTGTAGCACACACCTAGGATCCCTTGCTTTGGTCTGGGCCGGTGCTTCCCGCCTGCCAGGCTTCCCAGGAAGTCCCAAAAGATTGGAACTGCCACTATTGGAACCCAGTAACATAAGCCACGTTTTCAAAGCCAGCAGACCATTCAGATCTCTGGTGACAGGAAGCAGAGAAGGTGAAAAGTTCCCGAGGTCACTTAACATTCCGTGATTTATGGCCTTCAGCCAAGCAGAGCAAGGCAATCCGAAGAATCCTTCTTGTGGCTTCAGGGAATGGACACCCCCCCCCATCCATCTTAAACCCCTGAAGGATGGACGGGAGCCGTGATTCTTGGCTGCTGCCTCCAAGGGTTTTCCTTCCCTGCAAAATAAGGTTGTGAGCTAAACACAATTTAATTTATTAAATGTGTAGGTTGCCCATCCATTTGATGGATGGAATTTGCTCACAGGGGTGTGGAACTCGCCCTCATCTGTCCTAGGAACATGTAGAGGGGAAGAGATAAATTTAAGAGGAGAAGATGAGAAAGGAGAGAAGCAGCCTGGAACTAAGGAGAAACTTCCTGACAGTGAGAACAATTAACCAGTGGAACAGCTGGCCACCAGAAGTTGTGGGTGCTCCAACACTAGACGTTTTTAAGAAGAGACTGGACAGCCCTTTGTCTGAAATGGTATAGGCTAGGGTTTCCTGC